CTTTTCTATTTAAAAAATAAAAATAAGCCCAGCCTAGTTTTATCACCACAGATAAGGAGAGAAATCATCGGAAGTCCCTGGTCACTCACCGGTGGACAGGTGTCTCCCAGTACCCAACAAGCTGTACAGGAGGACAGGAAAAAAAGAAGTGTAGAGTCCAAACACTGGGGGCACGGAGGTCAGGAGGGCAAAAGCCATGCCTGGGGAAAGGTGGAAGGAAAGGTTGGAGGGGCTGACTGGGAGATGAGGCATTGGTCCGGCCTCCAGGACTTGCCTCCTTCCCACTCTCAGAGGTTGCATGGGAGCACTAAATTATGCCACAAGAGAGAAAGGAATTCACCGGGCTCAGTGGGGTGGACAAAGTCACAGATCCGTGTCAGAGTCCTGGAGGGCAGGTGTGCCCTCTCTCCAGTTCCCTGAGCGGGACCAGGTCCAACCAAGGCTTCTCACCGGATTGGGCAGGTGAGCAGAGACCAGACCGGGGCGGGATCTGAAAGGAGCTCCGCAGGCCTTACTTCTCAGTCCCTCCAACATTCTGAGAGCCCCCACGAAACCACCCCTTGCTCCCGAATTCCTACTCCCTACGCCACCTCCCTCAAGCCTTCTAGAATGTGGGCCACTGACTAGCTGCTGTTGGGGACCTCTCACCCTGGGGCACGTGCACGATGCCCACAGTCACTCCGGCCATCGCATCCCCGAGCAGCCAGGCCCGCCCGCGGTAGTTGGGCAGCCAGCGCACCGGGGGCAGCCGAGCCAGCAGAAGGCGCCACGCCCCCGACCTGGAACAAACGCCCGCCCGCCGCTTCCACGATCTGTAAAGCCTGGGCAAGCAGGGCTCCGCGGGTAGCTCCCGGTCCTGCTCTGCGCCCCCGAAGAGCTGCTGAAACCGAGCCTCGGTGAGAGGCTCTCTGAGCCTGCAGCCCAGGGGGGACTTAAGGTCAGAGGCCTCTCCAGGGACTGCACAGGCCCTGGCGTCCAATAGCCCACTCATTTTGTTCTTGGCCGCAAGCAACGCTTCCCGGTCTTAAATATCCTTCTGCCTCTAGCCTTGAGTCCCGCCTCCATGAAGCAGGATCCAATCCGGTCCTGGAGGGCGTTCTGTCTTGGGAACCTTCTCAGGCCAGTAGAGAGCTGGGGAGGGAGACCCTCTGTTAGGCGTATCCTCAGACGTCCTTGACCACCTTCCATGCCACGCCCTAAGTCACTGGCTCTGGGACATGGTATAAGGGGTGACTGTGTAAAGATACAGAAATCAGAGAGACAGGCCAAAAGACAAGGGAGCCCTACACCTTTACCCACTACTTACCACTCCTAAGCTGTTTGGTTTGGTTTTAGTTTTTGTGATCGGTCACATGTGCTCGACAGAGAGGGAACATGAGAAAACACCCCCAGGGGGAATGGCCACGCTCTTTTCCATTCTCCTCTCAAGAGTTTGGGTGTGCTTGTGAGCAGGCTTGGCATGTTTTTCAAGCCTCTAGATCCAGGACTGGGGCAGCACAGTCGGCCATGTGGGATCCAGTACCTTAACCTCCACACTGCCCGCCCTCTAAACCTTTTGATCTGGCCTTTTCACTCCACCTGACAGAGGCTGGCTCCTCTCAGATCATACTGATCCTTCCTGAAAGCTGCTTTCTTGCTGCTGGAGCAAGAAATTCCAGAGCCTATTTGCAACCCCACCCTAGATCCAAACCCTCACACTGCATAGTTCGCCCCTGGAGAGTAGAGTGTAAGGGGCCCTGTTGGCCTTAGCAGTTTCACAGACTGAGCCAGGAAGCAGTTACTGGTCTCGAAAAGGGCTCCTGACACCTGTGCAGGGACTGGCTGGGTCTAGTTTGAAGGGAATACAAAACTGATGGGAAATTTTTATTTGGTTAGGAGCCAAAAAACTGAAACCCCCATGTATCACATTCAAGTGCCATTCTGAAGTAGGCATTCAGAAACGTGTGTGGATACACGAAGTGCACACCTCATGTACCCCAGTGGCCCCTAAAGTAATACGAATGTCTGTGCTCTAGAATCCTGCTATTTGTTGCCATCCCCTCCTCCAGGCACAAGAATCTTCAGCACCCCTCCCCATCACCCTCTGATCCCCAATCCCTGACCCCAAAGTCCCAGGGGTAGAGTGCAGTGAGGGTGGGTCTCCCCTCTTCAATTCCTCCTATTGTTCCCTAGAAGTCTTATCTGGGCCCTACGTCCTGTCCCCCCTTCACAGATTCCCTCCCCTCATTGTCGGAGACCAGAGGGATCCGGAGCCCATAGGGAGGCTCCAGCTTCTTCTCACTGTCCCACCCCAGCAGGCTATTGTCTCCTGAGGAAGCCCGAGTGCACGTGACGGAGCCCAGGGGATGAATGGTCAGTGGAACATAAGGACCTGGGACAGGGCATCAGGAGGTGGACCTCTGCACATCTGGTTGTCTGTTCCAGGAGCTGTCCCAGGAGTTGGGAGTGAAGGCCCTATTGGACTCACCACCCTTGAGTCTATGGATTGAAGAAGAATCCCCTCATGTTCAGTATGGACATGCCACATGGCCTCCCAGACAGCAAAGATAAGGAGACCCAGAACCAGCAAGGGCCTCTCCGCCTTCCTATTTTCTCTCAGCTGAACATGGAGGCCTCAGGAGGAAAGGTACATTGGGCATTCTGTGCTTTACTTTCTGGATGTTGGGGGAACGGTGGGAAGCTACACTGTGCTGGGCTTCCTAGTGAGGTGTAGACAGAGGGTGAAGAGGAGGGGAAGAAGGTTAGGTAAAGGGGAAGAAGATACACCAAAGATCAAGTGTCTGGACCTGGTCTGACAGCAGGTGAGGGACGAACACAGCAACGTCGTCTACCTGGTACCCTGGGCTCCTTTCCTTTCATCAGACCCCTCCTGAAATCACTGGGCCAGCGGGTTCCTTCCATACCACTTCATCCCACCTGCCCCACCACAACCTCCCCTCCCCTCTGCCAAGACAGCAGCTTTAGTGATATAACAAAACCTTTATTTTCAGAAAACAAGAAAAACAAAATCAAAAACAAAACCAGTAATTTCTATCCAGCCCCTGCCCCAGCCCTCCCACCCACCCACATATCCTCCTTCTGGGGGACCGTGATGCATGCATGGGGACGGGGCTGAAGGAATCTGTGTTCCTTGGGCAGAACTTGGTCCTTTTGGGTCTAGGTACTCTTCCAAGTTGACATCACTCTCAGCCTTCCCCTCTCTCCAGATACACTGAGGAGGAGGAATCCTGGCACGGTCGCAGGCGGATTGCCCAGAGCTCTCTGGGGAGCAGGTGGCTGTCGGCACCACCCGTGGCCATCACCAGTTATAGCTCGTCTTCATCCAGCTTGGCAAGTCTGGCCTGGCAGGGAGGGGTGTTTGGGTTTGGAGCAACCAGAGGAGAGTCATGAGGAACCTGGGAGATACCGCCAAGGACCTAAGAAAGATTTAAGTCAGAGGATCAAAAAAGGCCAGGGAGTCCACCTGCATGCCTCTTTTCCATTTAAGCCCCTAGCCAAACCTTCTCTCCCCAGGTAACTCGGATTACCAGAGACTACCTACTCCTCAGAGTTCAACTGGAGAGGGGAAGAGGGAAGGGAAAGGAAGTAGGAAGGGTCAGACAAAAGGACAGTGGTGGCTGCAGGGAATGGGATGGAGGAGGGGCTCTGGCAATCCCACAGCAAGAAAACCCCCTCTCCATTCAGCCCCTACACAAGGAAGTTGTTCTTCATACCTTTGTGTCCAGGGGCAGGGGGGCTCTGGCCTCCTCCCCTTTGGGCAACAACAGCAGGGAGGGGAGAGAGCCATTGGTCGGTGCATGTGTGCTGACATGTGTCCGGTCCCCGGGCCGGATCCTCCCAGGGCTCCCCACCCCTCCTGGCCGCCCCAGGCTGTTGGTCTGGCTCTCCCGTCTCTGGTACTCAATGGGTGACTGCAATGCTAGGGCGAAGAGAGAAAGAGAAGGGGGATTACAGCAGAGGCCCTGCATGTGCCATCCTCCCATTTGCCTTCCCTTCCATTGTAAATTGCTGGGGGCTTTAAGGGATACTGAGTTACCAAATCTTGAGCTAGTAATGGAAAATGGGACTCGAACCCGTGCAGTCGGCCATGTGAGATCCAGCCACCTTAACCATCATGCCAAAATAGGATAGGGAGGAGCTGGATCAGCAGGCAGTGAGGTCAAAGGGCTGAGGGTGGGAGGCTGAGAGCTTCACCATTGAGAAAGTCCCGCTGGCTTTCCAGGATTTGAGCCACTTGCTTGACCCAGGCTTGACTGATTGCAGGGTCTGCAGCCTGTAGGATGTAGCGCTGGATCCCACCCTCTGGTCCTCTGGAGGTCAGGACAAAGCGGCAAGGGTCACCTTGGAGGTTTCCCTCCAGTCCCAAACAGCTCACCTGAATTGGCAAAAATAAGATAGTCCCCCACCAATTCTTTAGGCTCTCTCTGTTTCCTACACCCTCCAACAAATCCAAGAGCCAGATATCCTCCCTGAGTCCTCCCTAGGGCTCTCCCCACCTTGATGCTGCTCTTGTACACATAGCCAGGCTGTGCTCCGCCTCGCACGCCTCCTCCTAGGGCCTCGCTGAAGATGATAATCTGCTCAAAGAGGAAGACACGCCTCTCTCGACCCCGGGAAGACAGTAGCCCCCCAGCCTCAGGCTCTGTGACCCAGAATGTGTCTTGGCCCAAGAGCTTCCCCTGAGCAGTCAGCTTGCCCTAGAACCAAAGGAGGAAAAATAAGAAGTGAAAAGGGATCATTTCCACTCCTCCTACCATTCTCTGACACTCCCAGCCAGCGACGGGGTCAGGCACCCAGGAAATCATTTCCCTTAAGGCCCTCCAGAGTGCTAGGACTGGGGCAGAAGAGCACTAGGCTCCAGATCCCTGGGCTCCAGATCCCTCTCCCATCTCTGTACCTCAAAACCCCGCAGTCTCCCTAGGGTCATCATATCATTGCAGCGCTTGGGCACGAAACACATGACCTCCACAGCTTGCTGAGATGCAGGTGAGACAGGAGCATTAGCAGGAAAGAGAGTCATTATTGAGAAAGGCCTCCTTGGCCATCTATCTCTTCAGACCACCATGACCCCAACCAGCCTCACCTTAAAAACCAGACGACTCTAAACCATCCTAAGGGCTGGGGAACCCACAAAACTAAGAGAATAAGGTGTACATGCTGTATCCTGGCAGATCTGGGGATTCTCACCTCCAGCTCTTCAGTGTCCATCCCAGCTCTACTATAATACTTGAGAAAATCCTAAGACATACAGAAGAAATACTCAGGGAAGGCATGAGGACACCCTCAGAAGCTCTCACATCCTCTCCGAGGACACAGGTAAGGACGCCCCCAAGAAGTCTGGGCGGACATTAAGAATGCTGGGGAGGGGACGAGCAGTTAGCATAATGGCTATGTCGCTGGACTCCCACATAGTCGACCGCGGTTCGAGTCCCAGACCTGGTGGCTTAAACTCACACGCACGCGTGTGTGTGCATGCCCAGGATCCCGAGAGGAGAATGGAGGAGAAGGGATTGCAGCGTGGCCATCCCCCCTGGGGGGTGATTTTTCGCTTTCTGTCTCTCTGTCTCTCTCTCTGTCTGGCGAGTGCACACGCCCTATAGCAAAAACCTCTCCAAAAAAAAAAAAAAAAGAATGCTGGGGAGGTGAAACCACTGTCTTAGCCAGGTGTGCCCCCAGAGAGGAGGTGGTCCTGACCTTGAGAAGCAGCTGGTATTTCATGATCCTCTGCACAGGTTTGATAAGGAGGTCACTGAGCTGCAGGCGGTGCCCCAGCTGCTGCCGGAGCTCCTGGGGACAGGGACAGGGTGGTCAGGCAGCCTGGATAGCTGGCTCAAGCCCATTCTGTCTTCCTTCCCCCAAGGCACTTAAGCCACTGACCTCAAAGTAGCTGTCTCCAAACTCTGACACCACATGCTCTGACTTGGGCTTATTCTGACAGTATACCACGTACATATGCAGCCGGCGCTCCTACCAGGGGAATATTCGAGAGAGCATGATGAGCGAGGAGAGTAGGCACATCTACACAGAGCCCAGCTCTGTTCCCAAGCCCCTCCTCTCCCAGGCCCCATCCTCTCAAGCCTCACATGTTTGATGAATAGCTGAGCCAGCCAATCAGGATCCTTCAAACACTGCTGCAGCTCCTGCAGGAAATAGCTGGAAAGATTGGCAAAGAAAGGCATTTCAGAACCTCATCTCTCTCCACCCCCCAAGTTGAAGCTGTCCGCCCTAGTAGTGCTCAATAAAAAAACTTCTTGTAACATCTGTTAGGTCACAACGGCCCCGCAGTTGGGGTACAGAAACAATCAGATGAGTGTTCCTCTCTAACACCTGGCTCTCAGGGCACCACCACTCACTCTCGGTGCCACTCGTAGATCTGCTGGATATTCCCAAACACAATCCTGTCACGGCCTCGAAGATTCTCGGGAACTCCCTGAGCAGCCATGGTCGCCATGTAACCCTGTGGGAAGATTGGGGTAAGAGCATGTGGTGCCAGCTTTGGTGGGAACCCTTCCCTCTCACACCCTAAGGAGCCCAGAAATAGAGGGGGCTGCAAAGCCGCACCAAGCCATTTCCTGAAAATAGCCCTGGGTAGAGGGAAAGGGCAAGTGGACCAGGGTTCGGAAAGGGTACAGGGTACCACCTCCACAATCTGGCCCAAGTCGTCCACATACATCTTCTCTGTCTCTACCAGTTCGCTCAGGACATACCTAGGAAGGGAGCGGGAGAGTGCCCTGCTTCAGAGTCTGGGCACATCCTTGGCTGAGCCAGGTCCTCCCTCCTAGATTAGAAGCCCCTTTGTCACCATAGCCAATCTCAGAGGGACTTCTAGCCCAAACGTGAGGCAGTCTTCTGGAAGTTGTACAATTGTGTGTGTTGGGGGGGGCACTTACATACTCCTTTCCAGAGCTGCTTTCTTCTGCTCCTCCTCACTCTCAGGAGCTTGGGACGTCTCCTCTTCAGGTGGCTGGAGGAAAGAACATCCTAGGGTAAGTGAATACCTGTTGGGTGAAGAGAGCCTTCCCAGACCCTTCCCTTCATACCTGTGTCTTAGCTCGAGAGCCTTCCAGCAGTGTGGTCAGCAGGGTCAGTTCTGGCAACTCCTCTCCTGCAGGAAAGCCTGGCTCCAGCAACCAGTTCTGGAGGCCAGAGGTCAAGTGTCAAGAGGTCAAGGACAGTAGCCACATCTCCCCAGTGACCAGCAGCCCCAAATCGCCCACTCCCAATGTCCATGGTTGTCTTGCATGCTTCTGCTCACCTCACATGGCCCCGCCTGACCACCATCTGCCTCAGTTTCCACACTAAGGCAATGTTTGGAATGATCCAACCATCTCCTCAGGCCACTGACTGGCCCTGGGGGACCCGGAGAACAAGGGCCAGAGCTGAGGCCAGAGCTGGGGCCAGAGGGGGCACCCAGACCCGAAGCAGAAGCTGATATGCTCCCCTCGCTGCCAGCAATGGAATAGGATTCTAGTGGGGAAAAAAAAAAAAAAGGAGGTGATAGATAATGCTCCAGCTCCAGACTCGGTCCCCAGGGAACTCCCAGGCCTCTTTTCCAAGGTGCTCAGCCCCTCTCTCCCAGGATTCCCTCTCTTACCGTCCTCATTTGAGTTGGCCAGGATAGAAAATGTCACCAGGGCACCCTTGGGAAGAAGGACAGTAAACACCTGGCTTCCCAGGCCTACAACCCCCAGTGCATGTGGAGTTCCCCATATCCAGAGCATAGCACAGATATGGGGGTGGGGGCAGCCATCTGGGCAGACACTGGAAGCTGGGGGTGGCCATCTGCTCTCTTACAACTCGCCCCCTTGCAATGGGTACAGACCATTCTCTGGGAAGGGGTGGGGGCGGGGAGAGCAAGTCCATCTGCCACTCCCAGACCCCTCCTCCACCAATGGCCATGACCATTATAAAAGGAAAAGATTGCTGGCCCACCTTCCCAGCACAGGCACTAGCCCGACAGAGGGGGCTGGTGAGGAGAGCCTGGCAGGGCAATCTTTGGCCCGGGCTCAGGGACAGAGGAGCTGAGATTCTGCTCCTTATAAAGCCCCTGGTAGAACCCTTTTATTTATTCCCCATTCCTCCATTCTCCTGTCCCTCTTCAAAGTCTCAGCAAAAGGATTTGAGGGAAGATACATGGCTCTAGGCTTAAGGGACGATGGGTGGGTTTTCCTCATAACCAGCTGACTATATTTAAGAAATGAGTCTCCCCCTTCCCCAGTTTCCTTAACTTGAACTAACAGAAATTTGGAGAAAGAAGGAACCCTAGAGACCACCTACAAATCACTGTCCTGGAAAATAAACGCACGGGGGTCTCCAGCTCTAAAACCCCAGAGCCTGGGCAACCAGATGCCCGGAAACCCCAGCCCGCCCCCAATTCAATACTGGGCCCTTGCAACCTCGCACTCAC